AAAGAGTGCAAAATGTTCCGTGGTGGGTGGTACATGTACATACGTGGGCCTGTGTTTTTCCGAGTGGTTTGCACCCTTTTTTTGTTTTGCTTCCCCGCGGCGTCGTATGTGCCGGGTTTTGAGACCANTGCTTCCCCGCGGCGTCGTATGTGCCGGGTTTTGAGACCACGGGCTCCCCATTTTTGTGGACTATAGAGCTAATGTGAGAAACAACAACAAACAACAACATTACGTGGGCCTGTGTCTGTTGCATGTCGTAAGAAACCACCTACCCTCAGCCCTGATTCTCTGACCCGGTCAATAATACGACCGGAGGTGGCATGAAGATGCAACAGTAGTTGAAATGAACGCGGACGATTCTTATATTTGACGAACTTAAAAAAAAAAACTAAAATCTAGTTAAGTTGCTGTCAAGACCTCGGTTGTTCCCATGGGGTGTAAGGCATATTTTTCATCGTCACTAGTCTGTATACTACAGTAGTCTAGTATGCATTTGCAGACCTTCCACGCGTGACAGCAACTACAGTCCTGGGGACACAACATCCTCGTTGCTCGGTCGACATGTCTGCCTGGNCACACCGTCACCGCTGCGCTGCTCACGCCACACACACTTGCTTGTGCAATCGGCAGTTGCGACGGCAACTTGCGTATGTGCTAAACTCACCTCTCGATCTGGGCAGACCCGAGGACTTGCACAGTGAGACAAATGCCAGTCTTCGCGCGGAATGCCTTCTCCTTGTCCGCCACGGCGCCTGCCGCCTTGATGTATGCCTCCTTCTTTTCCTGAATCGCCAGCAAGGGTGGTGGGGCAAGGGAGATAGGGCATTCGAAATAAGCGTCGATGTTGCTGTTGACGTACCGGCATGTACGTTTGGCCGGTTGAGTGAAGGCATAGGGAGTATCTTCTCTATCATCTATGGATTGCCCACACATAGGCGATGCCCACGCCCCTATTCCCTGTCAATTTTGGTTCACATTATCGGGTAACCCAACTGCATTTTGGTCCGTTGCGTGGTTCCGGGATTTCGAATACAGGCTGTTATTGCTTTTTTCTGCAGCATTGTTCAACCCGCGACGGCGCCGTCACACGGCCAGCCAGCGCTCCATTGACTGCAGCAGAGGTGCGTGAGTGACCTGTTAGGGTTCTGTGCACAAGGTCCTTTCGACTATCACCTCACGCATGAGTATCGTAGTTATTGGTCAAGAGGTATGATCGGCAATTCCCCGACATTCATGACGATCGCTTGCACATGACGGTGCGCGCCACACGCCTAGCCACAACAGCGAACGCCTGGTCTGTTGATGTTTGCAGTCGCGCTGCCGTCGAGAGTGTGCACATAAGATCTGGCTGTCCTATGGGCTAGTCAGCGTTTCTTTCACAGCAAATGCAACAGCGGTCCGTCGTGCCCCTGCTGCCTAGAGCCTTCCAACAGCAGTACATTTTTTTTTTTGAATTTCGAGCACACTTTCGAGCACACACCGTCACCGCTGCGCTGCTCACGCCACACACACTTGCTTGTGCAATCGGCAGTTGCGACGGCAACTTGCGTATGTGCTAAACTCACCTCTCGATCTGGGCAGACCCGAGGACTTGCACAGTGAGACAAATGCCAGTCTTCGCGCGGAATGCCTTCTCCTCCGCCACAGCGCCTGCCGCCTTGATGTATGTCTCCTTTTCCTGAATCGCCAGCAAGGGTGGTGGGGCAAGGGAGATGGGGCATGCGAAATAAGTGTCGATGTTGCTGTTGACGTATCGGCATGTACGTTTGGCCGGTTGAGTGAAGGCATAGGGAGTATCTTCTCGCAGGCGAATATACGACACACAACCTCGGAGCACTGCGATTCGTCAGCAGTACAGCAGCGGCACTTACGGCTGGCCAGGCCTCCACCGGGAGGAGAGATCGCTGTATGTATGGCAAAGACGAGTTTTGCCGGCTACGCTTCGACTACCGTAGATATCGGAGTTTCCCTTTGGAGGGGGGGGGGTCGTTTGTTTCTATGAACTAAAACCCCCTTGGGGGGAATTGGCGTACCGGGGGGAGGCGTGCGTTTTTTTCTCCCATGCTACCCCAGGGCTGGGTGTCTATCCCGGGGGGATGTGAAAAATAACCGTGGAAAATAACAAGCGCTGCGCCAACAACATGGAAGGCCAATTGTCGCGGTTTAAGACATGCTTCGCTCGAAACGCAGATCTACAGAAGAGTTTTTCACACTGCACATGCTTTTCCACTTTGCGATGCTACAAAATCCAGAAACAGCATCCCCCCCGGGGGTAACCCGGGTGAAATTTCTACCCCGGGGGGAAATTGACGTACCCGGGGGGGGGAGGGGGGGGGGGGGGTACTCATAGTCGTGCACGCCGTAGTCGTTAGACCATCGGCATGTACGTTTGGCCGGTTGAGTGAAGGCATAGGGAGTATCTTCTCGCAGGCGAATATACGACACACAAGCTCGGAGCATTGCGATTCGTCAGCAGTACAGCAGCGGCACTTACGCCTGGCCAGGCCTCCACCGGGAGGAGCGATCGCTGTATGTATGGCAAAGACGAGTTTTGCCGGCTACGCTTCGACTACCGTAGATATCGGAGTTCCCTTTGGAGGGGGGGGGGTCGTTTGTTTCTATGAATAAAAACCCCCTTGGGGGGGATTGGCGTACCGGGGGGAGGGGTGCGTTTTTTTCTCCCATGCTACCCCGGGGCTGGGGTGTCTATCCCGGGAGGATGTGAAAAATAACCGTGGAAAATAACAAGCGCTGCGCCAACAACATGGAAGGCCAATTGTCGCGGTTTAAGACATACTTCGCTCGAAACGCAGATCTGCAGAAGAGTTTTTCACACTGCACATGCTTTTCCACTTCGCGATGCTACAAAATCCAGGAACAGCATCCCCCCCGGGGGTAACTCGGGTGAAATTGCTACCCCGGGGGGAAATTGACGTACCCGGGGGGGGGTCTTTTTTTTTTTTCCTTGGTACCCCGGNGGGGGGGGGGGGGGGGGAGAGTCGACTACGGGGGAAAAACTCAAACGTTCACGCTAAAGCACAACTTTGGAATCAGTGACCCACACCCCACCGAGAAAAGTGTAGTACATTATGTGCCATTATGTGCCGGTGGATGGGGGGCAACTGCCCGTGGCCTATGTAGCTCACCTGCAGTCGAGGGACCGACAATAGTCTTGCCGGTCCGTCGGTAGTGCTTGTCCAGTCTTGAGGTGCACCCTTCGCCCTCCAGGGCTCCTCCCAGGGCCCTGCGATGTGTCGAAGATCGAAAACCGTAGTTTTCTTCTCCCTGGCGCTTAACCTCTGTGTTCACACGCAGCGCACAGCCAACCCACAGGAGACATGGGGGAAATTCGGGTGGGGGGTGTTTGACTCCGCCGAGCTGTAGTAGCAGTACCCTGGGTGGACCTTACACTTCAAACCCAAAGCAACACGTAAGAGACCCCCTGCTGTCAGACCCAACACGGCGAACTCACCCCAAAATTAGCCTCGAGAGCAGTCTCCAGCTCGCCACGGAGAGCATCTGCAACNACAGCCAACCCACAGGAGACATGGGGGAAATTCGGGTGGGGGGTGTTTGACTCCGCCGAGCTGTAGTAGCAGTACCCTGGGTGGACCTTACACTTCAAACCCAAAGCAACACGTAAGAGACCCCCTTCTGTCAGACCCAACACGGCGAACTCACCCCAAAATTAGCCTCGAGAGCAGTCTCCAGCTCGCCACGGAGAGCATCTGCAAAGAGCTCGACGTCCTTCGCTGCGCCTCTAGCTACATCCACAGCCCCTTTCAGCCCCTTCAGCACCGGATCTGCTGGTGAGTCACCCGGCCCACCACCATCCCCCCCGACGTCGACAATCGCCTTCCCGACGCGCAGCCAAACGTCGCTCTTGACTTGAGACTGACCGACCGTGGTCTTCAATTTCTGGCGCATGCTGCCGTACGTAAACTTGCTGCCGACACATCGGCGCAGGTTCTTCTTCTTCCTCTTGCTGCTGCCGTTCACGGCTTTCGCCGCACCGACGCTAGCGTCGGCCTCCAACTCTGTTGCCTCCTCCGTTGCCTCCTCCGTCGACCCATCGTCGCCCTCATCCATGGCGTTGTCGTCCGGCTCTCCTCGAAGCTCGGGAATGTCGAAGATGTCAGGCTGCTCCCCCCTTTCTGGGTGCGGCCCCTCTTCGAGGTCTACATCGTCCCCTGGTGCCCCTGCACAATCCGACCTGCAGTAGGAGTGGTTGCCTGCGCGGGCAGGGGCACACATAAAGCAATATAATGAACTGCTGCTGCATCACGAACCAGAAGGTGGGCACGAAAATGGGCCAAGAGGCACAACCTGTCCAAAAGACGTCGGACCAACCTCAAGAACAAGTCTGGTTAGGAGCGCTTACCGAAGATCCAGCGCTTCCACCGACTGTTTCGCAAGCTCCTGCAAAAGCCGATACGGTACAGGGCGCGCGATGAGTCGGACGTATCGGCGATTACGACGGTCGCAGAGAGGGAGTCCAGAGTTCCCAAATATGGCCAATTCCAGCTCTGGGAGCGTTGGAATGTGGATCAAGANCCACCGACTGTTTCGCAAGCTCCTGCAACAGCCGGTACGGTACAGGGCGCGCGATGAGTCGGACGCATCGGCGATTACGACAATCGCAGAGAGGGAGTCCAGAATTCCCAAATATGGCCAATTCCAGCTCTGGGAGCGTTGGAATGTGGATCAAGAGCCTTTGGCATTCGTAAACGGGCTGCTCGATACGTGGGAGGAGCGAGGTGCGAAGCGTATCGCCATCTCACAGCCCTTTCCTGGCCTGGAGAAAAGGCAGTGCACCATGCAAGTCATCTTTGGTCCGGGTGAGAAGACCTTGCGAATTTCGGTGCTTTTCCGAGGCACGGGGAAGCGGATCTCGCCGGTGGAGAAGGCCGCGTACCACAAGGGCGTGGGCGTGTTTTTCCAGGAGAATGCTTGGGCCAACCAAAAGTTCTGTATGAAGTGGGCTAAGAGGTCCTACGGCGAAGGCCTGATGCGCGGGCGAGGTGAGCTTCCCAAGGCAAGCTCCATTTTTATCATGGACAACTTGCACGCGCAGACGATGGACGAGTTCAAGGAGTATCTTGCGAAGGAGTGCAACACTCTCGCCTGGTATGGCCCCTCGGAGTGCACGGACGAGGCGCAGCGTGTTGATGCAGGAGTCGGACGATTTATCAAGGTGTTAGCTGGGAGGCAGATGGACATGTGGCTCGAGCAGTCGGACAACCTCGAGAGGTGGGAAACCGCGGCGCTGACAGCTTCTGATCGGCGGGTACTGATCATTCAGTGGATTGGAGCGGCCATGGCAAGACTCAACAGCCAACAGGCGTTCCGATTCCGCCTTTTCGAAAAGTGCGGGATGGCCATGACTGTGGACGGCTCAGGCGATGATCGGATCACCTTGGAGGGTTTGGACAAGCCGTACACCTTCGCAAACGATGAAGACTGTAGCGAGGACGAAGAAGATTGGAGAACGGCAGCGATGAGCCTGAGGGGCGGGGGAAGGAGGGCGATGGACGTGAGACGGTCGTGGAGGGCGCTGATTCCAGCGATGATGAAGACGACGGCGGTAAGTTTGATTTGCACTAGACCCAATCTTTGTCATTTCCTTGTTGATGACGATACCCATGTTGATATTTGCTTGGATTTTGCTGATATGCTGTTTCCGCGTTCACGACTACGAGCAAATATGATGGGGTTCATGTTGAGTTTCGGCCCTGACACCGTACTTCTTGTGGTGTTTCACGGTGCCCCGTTCGCAGGCACGTCTCAAACCCAGCCCGATGAGCTAGCTCTTCTCGACGACGACGACAGCACGGACCCACAAGACCCGGAGGACGAGACACAAAGAATGGAGATCCCGACAGGCTTTCGCATTCAAGAAGTTAAACCCGTTGCTCTTGACAGATTGCTTTCGCGACGTGGAGTGCTCGTTAGGCTGGGGATGGGGTGGTTTGAAGGGTTGATCATTCAGCAATCTCAGCAGGACACTCCCCACCTGTACGACTACTGCGTGAAGCTGGAGCTAGACCATAGTACGCGCAAGATGAAGCTGCCCTTAGACAATTACACCGGAGATCTGGATGCGGCGGTAGGCTCCTGGGTTCTGCTTGAGAGCGTTAGACTAGTAGATCGGGGAGGGTACGCAGGACCAACGTCACCCTTGTGGACCAAGATGGTTGGCAGTTGCTGCTGCATGCCTTGGTGTGCTCTTGTACCAAACAACAGCATTGTTCCTCATGCTAAACACAATAAACACTCCGCCGAGTGCAGTTGACAGCCGCCAACAAAGTGCGTCGTCATACAACGTACGCCGACAGGGCCAATTGGTGTTGAAATAAGAACGAGAACATTTCGCTGGAGGAAAATGGGACGGCGAAATAAGAACATGGCCAATATGAACACGTGCTCGGGTTGGGACAGCCAATAAGAACTGAGCCTCGCTCAAATAGGAGGTATTTAAGTGCGGGCCTCAACTGTATAGAGCTAATGTGAGAAACAACAACAACAACAACAACAACAACCTGCTCAGAAACTAAATACTGCTGCTGCTGCTGCTGACAGTCTATTTCTCTCCGCATAGATAGCTGCTACTGCTGTACAGCAGGAGTACTACTGTACTCCTGTTCGTCATCCTTCCTTACATATACCGCGTCGCCATCCTTGTGAGCTTCACACATGGACCCACTGCTGCACCATACTTGCCGCCGTGATTTATGGGTGTACACGCATGCTTGGAAGATCTTTGACCGCAGAGAGCCCGGTGTGGGGAAAAATAGAAAAACTCAACCTAACGCAGTCTCGTAAGGGTAAAGGCGAGCCGCTGGTGGTTGCGCTGACCAGCTTGAACTCCACAGCAGTGGATGGAATCGATAAGTAGATCAATCTTGGCTCCCTAGATAGCTATCGGGGTGGTCCACTGCTGTACGCCTTGGGCTTGCTTGTGGGTGGACGAAAGCGGGCCTCTCTGATTCGTTTCAGACCTATTCTGCACGTTTTTTATTTTTCAGCAGAGTGCAGCATGGCAACTGGCTGGAAACTAACCGACACTTACGGTGCAATCGGGCCGCTTTTCTTGGAACTGTGGAATTACCGGGTGATTTACGGGTGAACGCGTGGTTTGGAACAGGGCTGGTGTGAATTGAGTGCAGTCAAGCGTACTACTTGGGAAGAGAGTAGGTGGAAAAGAGCGGGAAATGTTTGAAAGAGTACTGAACTATCGGAGAGTTGTGAGGCGGATCGGTATGTTCATCGTGGAATGAATGAGTTCAAGAGATTTTGACAGGTCGTTTGAGAGGATTGGATAGAATCTTAGATTCTCGGAATGCAAGGAAATATGGACTGTCAGCAGAGTTGAAGTTGAGAGGTTTTGGGAATTGGTGCATGCGTGTGGACGAAGAGACACGCACACGAGGTCAGTCTGACCCTAACCCTAATCTGGTATTATTGACGGCTTGTATGTACCATTCCAGACACAATCAGCACTACCACACGCTAGAGCTACACCTCACCTCTCGCTTATTTCCACCTGCCCTCTCCCCGTCCTTTCGTCTCCCCCTTGCTCGGCTGCTGCTTGTACTTGGCAATGCGACGCGCGGTATGTCTGCATGTCTGCGTGTCCACAACGGGACTGTGGGGGTGTGGGATGAAGTCAATTTTCGCGTGCTGAACGCTGTACCCGCCCCGACCCTCTCCATGGAAACAATGGCAGTTCTGTAGCAGCGGTGGGTATCGCACAGGACCAAGGGAAGACTTGCGCAGGCGTGTGGAAGAGGTCGGAAAAACATATGCGGATCAACTTCAACACGAACGGATAGATGCGTGGGAATATGCTGAACAAGTTGTTAATCAGTTGATCACGTGTTCACCAATAAGTGAACGCCTCTGATACCACAACCGAGATGGAAAAAGTTCTGCTGGAACAACACGTTCCACACCAGAATGACCTAGACCTATGAGGTCCCCACCCATTCCAATTGTTGGAAATGTCGGGTAGACTCGTGCACGCACAGGGCCTACAGTAATGCGGTCAACCGACTGTTGGATTCGCCCACAGTCATTCGCCGCGTGACGGCGATGCCCACCTACAGCACCGACTTGTGGCGTGACAGCAGTGCTTTGGTGGGCGTGTAGATCCCTGTTGTTCACAAGAAAATGTGTGTAGATTGCGTGTGGGTTGGCGTGCTTGCATGCATAGATTGTGGCATATCCGAGATCCACCCGCTCTCTCGCGCCCACCCGCTCTCTCGCGCCCACCCGCTCTCTCGCGCCCATCAGCTCTCTCGCACCCACCAGCTCACACTCTCCCTATTCTCACCCCGTCTGCACTCCGGAGCAGCACAAGATACTTTGAAACCCACAAGAAGGCACTGCGGTGAGTGAGTGATATGCCGTATCTTCGTCGTGATAGCATACTTCTTCAGGTAGCCTACAAAAAGCGCGAGATAGCGGGGGAAGCTCGTCAGCCGTCAGACACATGCACTTCTGCACCAATGACCGACACGGCTAACGTCTAGAACACATGTCCTGTACTCCGGACGCACGTATGACGATCATTGCCCTTTCAGGTATCAGCTTTCCCGCCATCAACATGAAGATGCGGCTTCTTTCGCTGGCGCTACCGATGCTTCTCGGGGGTGCCATTGGTGAGAGAAGTGTTCGTGCAATGCAACAAGCTCCGACTTCGGGAGTGGGATCCAATCCACATCAATCATCGAAAGAGATACAAAACCACACGTACATGCAAGACCTCTCTTTTGTTGCGGATGGTGGCCTCACACAGCCAAAAGACACTGCAAAAACATTTTGGTGATCGTACTTCATGCAGTATCAAATAACACCCGTCCGCGTCCTCCTGCTGCCGAATTTCTCTGGATCGTGTTGGCATTTTTGCGTTTGTGATGGTGGGGATGGATGAGAGGGAGAGACGGATAAACGTTGAGGCCGCCCATCATACCTTTCCGATACTGCACCGTTTGCCNACATCAATCATCGAAAGAGATACAAAACCACACGTACATGCAAGACCTCTTTTGNCTTCGGGAGTGGGATCCAATCCACATCAATCATCGAAAGAGATACAAAACCACACGTACATGCAAGACCTCTCTTTTGTTGCGGATGGTGGCCTCACACAGCCAAAAGACACTGCAAAAACATTTTGGTGATCGTACTTCATGCAGTATCAAATAACACCCGTCCGCGTCCTCCTGCTGCCGAATTTCTCTGGATCGTGTTGGCATTTTTGCGTTTGTGATGGTGGGGATGGATGAGAGGGAGAGACGGACAAACGTTGAGGCCGCCTATCATACCTTTCCGATACTGCACCGTTTGCATCAAGCAGCAAGTGCCCAAAACGTGCGCTATCCTGCGATAGGGTGGGGCATAACCGACCTCGCCCGATAGAGCGAGTTTCATGTGTACACGCCGGCTGCCACCCAAAGGTGGAACGTGCTTGAGAAAAATTCTTGTGGCATCGAGCCTGCCGACGACGAACTAATTCGGGAGGCATCGCAAGACATCTCTCTGTACCCCGAAGGAAAATAAGTCCTCTATGATGTGCAGTCTGGGTGCCATGCGAAGGAGTGTGAACGCAGCATCCCGCATGCACAGCACCAACAAAGATATATGCTGCGCGTTCCCAGTGCCTCTGAAGTTGTGCTTGACCGCTGCTGCTATCATGAGATGCTACATCAAACATTGTGTTCGATATTGGTCATATCGAAACTGGCTTTATTCCTCTTGATCTATATTACACCTTATCTATCTTCAGCTAAATACCCCGAGGATGCGCAACAAAAGTACGTTATGGAAGCAGAACAAAGCCCGCCGAGCAGCAAACATGCCACATATTGGTGCGGAACAACTCAAGCGACACGGAAGGTGCGTGTTGGCGTACGCGGTACGACTGTTGCTGAACCGCCGTACCGCGGCGGCGGTGCTACCGCTCCTCCTCCTGCTGTTGAGGGTGTCGCTTGCAACCGCTCTTTCGGGCGGAGAGACATACATGTGAATTTGTTATCGTACACCCGCCGCCAGCCGCTCACAGCCACCCGTGCAAAACACATTCCGTTTTTTTGTTGTCTGGGCGGTGGCATCTTCATTTCCTCAACAATGAAGGCGAAACCGACAGACCGTCCGGTCGAATCATCAAATTCTGGCCTCCGGCTTAAGTTTCTTGTACAATACCTACATGCAGACAGTACCGATCCCAAAAAAGCCGAAACACACAAAATGGGCCTCGTGAATGAAGTTTTGTGAAACTCTGAGTTGACTTCTACTTGTATTACGCTCGTTGTACGCGTTCTGTGGAGGCTTTTATGTCAGCACCCGGTGGTTACCAGCCCCAGAATTTCGGCGGCAGAGTTGGATGCCCTCAGAAATTCGATTTCGATTTCGAGCTGGCGGATATCGAAAACACAACTAACAGAAAAAAACTCGAAACACGTCGGTTTCGGAGTTCCCCCGTGACGGCGTGCTTGAGATCTCCGGATGACAGTGCGTGAGATCTCTGAATACCAAAATCCCGCCGTTTTTGCTAAACAGCTTTCGGGCAGTAGCAAAGCCGCTGGTTTCTCGTCGCTCGCGGGAGGAACGGCTCCATATTACACTAACGAAAGTCATACAAAATTGACGGAGGCCTGGGGCATGACTCGGAATACTTTCAGTTCGTGACGGGGTTATGTAGAGCGTCCCCGGAGTATCACCGCCTCTTGAGAAGGACGATGACCTGTCTGCTGACTCGTGCGGGAGCAGGTCAGTCCGATGATCCGTCTTATCTTGGGTGCTTCTCGGACCCTGCTGACAGCCGTGTCTTCGACACCCAGTATTCCGACTCCACCATGACCGCAGCGGTGGGTGACCAACCGATATCTGGAGCCGCGTGTAGATGTCCGCATGTCTGTATTCTTGTGGTTGCATGTTGTTTTCGACGCGCAGGTTTGTGCGAGTTGGAGGGTAGTCCTTACGTTCCCTGGTGCTTGTGGCAATCGCTTTTGTTGCTGACTCCGTGTGCCCACACTTTGAACCTCGGGTTGCGACCCACAAAACCCAGCGTTACCATCTGCCATATTGTCTGCGGACATACCCGTCGCTGCCCCCCCTGCCACCCAACGCGGGTTTTCGCCCGCCCTGCTTGCACGTGGGCACGACGCTTGAACCACAGGTCTGCTCCGCGCTCTGCGCCGACTCGGCCTTCTATGGAACCCAATACTCTTCCGAGGTACGACGTCTGAGATTTTAAAACAACGGAGTCGTACACCGATGAACGGGGGAGGTGGTGTACGAGATCGTGATGAATACCATAGATTGGATGTTGTTGAGATTAGGGATTGGCTTTGCAGGAGTAGTGAACATTACAACAGTAGAAGTTATACCTTGTTTGGTGGTCGTGCGTTCTCTGTGCCTACGAACAACGACAAGACGGTTTCAGCGTAATATCCCACGGATTGGTTTCCTTGTAGTCCAAACCATCGAGTTTGGCACAAGTACAGACCCCCGTTGTACTTTATTCTGGACTTGGTTTTGGTTGTTCGCTCCTTGACACGCTAACCTCTCTGTTTGCGCTACACATCCGTGGAGGTCAACGTTTCTCGCGTTTGTAGTAACAGCAACGGACTGAATAGGACGAAAACACACGATCGGAGCACCTCTCTTTGGTGAAATTGACATGAGTTATTCCTTTTGCCGACCTATGGTCGGCGACACCACTACCGCAACGCTGACCATCCCCATCCCACCAATAGTCGAAATATAATGCAACCACCACACACGACCCGTCGAACTCCTTTCTCTCAGCCATCACTTTACATACACCCGAAACATCCGCCATTCGTTTCGAAACAGTGCTGGTGTGGCGACAATGTCGACTACGACGCCAACGGCGAAGGGGTCTGTGACATGGCCTGCTCGGGCGACTCCAGCGAGACCTGCGGGGGCTTCTACGCCATGAGTGTCTACGAGAACCCCGACGACTCCGGCTACCTTGGCTGCTACTCCGACCCGGCCGACAGCCGCATCTTCGACTTGGTGGCTACCGCTGACGACATGACCTCGGAGGTGCGTCCGCGAGCAAGCCAGATGGAATACGTCTTGGGGTCGTGGGTTGAGCTGTTGATGACGTATTCCGTGTCGAAGCCAACAGGCTTGTGCTGCTGTTGTTATGTTCGTGAGTTCGTCACTGCATGGTCATTGCCACCATCGTTCGAAATACGTAGTCGTTGCATCAACGCGCCACCGCCACCCAACAGACTGCCACGTTGCCCATTCCTTTTGTCTCTCCTCTTTCGAACGACGAATGTGGCTTCCCTCCAACGCAACCAACCGGCCGCAGATCTGCTTGGGGAACTGCGGCGCCTACCAATACTACGGGACTCAGTATTCGACGCAGGTGAGTCGTCTAGCATACACGCGCAAAGAACCCGTGATATTTACGGATCGCGGGGTGTTATAGTCGTCCTGACGTGGCGTCAGAACTGCATCATCGTGGGCATTGCCATGGGCGTGCAACAATCACCCCCGTGGCCTTATGTTGGTGAATTTTCGAATTCACCTAAAGTACGTGCCTCGAATCATGCCGGTCTTGTACGCCGTCGTTCGCTGCTTTGTGCACGGGCGCGAAATCCATGCATCACTCATGGGAGTCGTGGCCTGTGCGCTAATACTGTGTCGCGCACATGTTATTCGATATTGAAATGTCCCGTACTAGGATGGCTTTCGCGCGATTCGCGGGTGACGAGCGAATGGGGGCCTGCTTCACTGACGTGACGCTGAACTAGCCCCCTCTCGGTGACCGCTCCCCCCTCTCGACTTGTACCGCCGAACCCAACAGTGCTGGTGCGGCGATAATGCCGACTACGACGCCAACGGTGCCGGCGAGTGTGACATGGCCTGCTCGGGCGACGCCAGCGAGATCTGCGGAGGCTTCTACGCCATGAGTGTCTACGAGAACCCCGACGACTCCGGCTACCTTGGCTGCTACTCCGACCCGGCCGACAGCCGCATCTTCGACCTGGTGGCTACCGCTGACGACATGACCTCGGAGGTGCGTCCGCGAGCAAGCCAGATGGAATACGTCTTGGGGTCGTGGGTTAAGCTGTTGATGACGTATTCTGTATCGAACGTCTGCATGGCTTGTACTCTGCGTTTGGTACTGCTGTCTAAAGTATGCCTGTGATTTGTCGCTGCGTGGCCATTGTCACCATCGTTCGAAATACGTAGTCCTTGCATCAACGCGCCACCGCCACCCAACAGACTGCCACGTTGCCCATTCCTTTGTCCCTCCTCTTTCGAACGACGAATGTGGCTTCCCTCCAACGCAACCAAACGGCGACAGATCTGCCTGGGGTACTGTGGCGCCTACCAGTACTACGGGACTCAGTATTCGACGCAGGCGAGTCGTCTTGTATACACGCGCAAAGAACCCGTGACATGTACGAATCGCGAGATGTTAATGTCGCCCTAGCCTGGTGTCAGAACTGCAAGTTGAGGTAAATTGTCCAAATCACCTAGAGTACGTGCCTCGGATCATGCCGGTCATATATGCTGTCGTTTGCTGCTTTGTGCACCGGCGCGAAACCCATGCATTAGTCAATAGGCGTCGTGGCCTGTGCGCAGATAGTGTGCCGCATACATGATATTTTATATGCAAAAGGCACGTATTGGTATGGTTGTCACGCGGTTCGGCGAAGACCAGCGAATGGGCGCCTGCTTCGACCACACTAGTGACGTGGAAAACGTGGGCTGATACTGCTTATCCACCAGCGATTCAATTGTCCACGTGTTTGGTCCTCGTCAGCTTCTCTCGCTAGTTTCATTCTTTTGGTACTGTAGTCGGAGCCTCGCGCTTGCAACCGAGTACGCACAACCTGTCCCAGACACCGGCGCGTGACGCGATTTTGCTCGATCTGAGAGAACGCAGGGGTCTTTCAGATGGGCGTTCGTTTGTTTCTCGATACCATCGTCTGACTCATTGGGCCTGCTTGTTTGCACGCCAGATCTTCTCATCTCGAGGTCTGCTGCTACCGTGATACATATCCGCTCCCTGACGCCGCACCTCCACCACGATGACGCCCATCTTCCGTGTTTAACGGCGCCAAGTAACGTCCTGCATGCCACTGAAGTCACGCTGAACTAGCCCCTGCCCTTTCGGTGAATGCACCCCCTTCTCTCCCCGGGTCTCGATTTATACCGTCGAACGCGACAGTGCTGGTGCGGCGACAACGCCGACTACGACGCCAACGGCGAAGGGGTCTGTGACATGGCCTGCTCGGGCGACGCCAGCGAGATCTGCGGAGGCTTCTACGCCATGAGCGTCTACGAGAACCCCGACGTAGATCCTGTGGACCCCTCGTACCTTGGCTGCTACGCCGACCCGGCCGACAGCCGCATCTTCGACTTGGTGGCTACCGCTGACGACATGACCTCGGAGGTGCGTCCGCAAGCAAGACGGATGGGATACATTTCGGGGTCGTGGGTTGAGCTGTTGATGATGTCATCTGTGTCGTTCCGGGGTCATGGGTTGACCTGTTGGATGATGTCATCTGTGCCGAACGTTAACGTGGCCTTACTGCTGTCTAAAGTATGCCTGTGGTTTGTCGTTGCGTGGCCATTGTCACCAGCCTTCAAAATACGTGGCCCTTGCATCAACGCGCCACCGCCACCCAACAAACTATCACGCTGTGCGCAATTGACTTGTCTCTCCTCGTTCGAACGACCAATGTGACCACTGTGGCTTCCCCTCCAACGCAACCAACCGGCCACAGAACTGCTTGGGGAACTGCGGCGCCTACCAATACTACGGGACTCAGTATTCGACGCAGGTGAGTCGACTAGCATACACGCGCAAAGAACCCGTGATATTTACGGATCGCGGGTGTTAAAAGTCAACCTGACGTGGCGTCAGAAGTGCATCATCATGGGCATTGCCATGGGCGTGCAACAATCACCCCCGTGGCCTTATGTTGGTGAATTTTCGAAGTCACCTAGAGTACGTGCCTCGAATCATGCCGGTCTTGTACGCTGTCGTTCGCTGCTTTGTGCACGGGCGCGAAATCCGTGCATCACTCATGGGCGTCGTAGCCTGTGTGCAACATAGTGTTCCGCGTACGTGGTATTCGATATGCAAATGCCACTAAGGCACGCCGAACTAGCCCCTTCCCTCTCGGTGACTGCTCCCCCCGCCTTCGGCCCGTTCCTCGGTTTATTTCGCCGAACGCAACAGTGCTGGTGCGGCGACAATGCCGACTACGACGCCAACGGTGCCGGCGAGTGCGACATGGCCTGTTCGGGCGACTCCAGCGAGATCTGCGGAGGCTTCTACAGCATGAGTGTCTACGAGAACGACGACGTAGATGCTGTGGACCTCTCGTATCGGGGCTGCTACTCCGACCCAGCCGACAGCCGTATCTTCGTTGAGGCAGGCTCCTCTGACGCCATGACCGCAGAGGTGAGCGAGAGAAGAGAGCACGAGAGGCGCGAACAGTGCTTGTGTGCTCGCCCGTTTTTGGTGCATATTATTCCTAGGGCATGCATGCCTTTTGCATAAGGAAGTTTTGGCCGGTCTGCGGCGCGCTTTGTGCCTTGCGAGGATGGCGTGATGTCGGCATGGTCTGTGGATACTTGTCAGAGCCTCTCTTGAAGGTCGACCCGTAAGCCAACTCGCTGTCATTGCGCCCACGCGGTGCTTGTGCATTCATTGCTCTCGGTTGGCGTGCCCCTAACTACTCCTTCCCCCCTTGTCCTGGTGATCGATCACCCCCAACACACACAACCTTCGCAATTCACCACACACAGTACTGCGCCACGCTATGCCCCGACTCGGCGTTCTACGGAACACAGTACTCTACGCAGGTGAGGGCGTTGTGACGGTTTCATCTAGTCTCGGAGCCAAGCCGTTCGGACGACCTTGGGTCTGCCTGTTGTGATAGATCGGCGTTCAGAAACTACGGCCGAGAGGTCTTGTGTTGGTTGAAAACAAAGTATGGCGGTCTGTATCGCCACCATGGATGACAAATTTTTGCCGGCCGGGATTCGATGCAGCCAACCACCAAATTGCCCTTCCAACCACGCGCCACTGGCGTTCGTTCTAGCCGGCATGGTGGTTTAATGTTGTTGCTAAACGTCGCCAGACTTCAAATTCAAAACCACGGCAACGGCAGCTACATCGTTGTTGTTGTTAGGTTTGCCGTTGTTGTCCACCGTACCCGATCGCCGCATGTCATTATCGACGTTCTCGTGTTGGGTGATAATTGCCGCCAACCGCCACCATGTGCACCCTTGAATACATCTACCCAATTTTTGCCAAACCCACAATCACCGTACGCTACCTCTTGATGCGGCGAAATTCCCCCGTCCTCTGATTACGCCTCACTGCATCTACCATAACTACGAAAATAGTGCTGGTGCGGCGACCTCAACGCCAGATACTCCGAGAACGGCGAGGGAGTCTGCGACATGCCCTGCTCGGGCGACTCCGATGAGACTTGCGGAGGGTTCTACAGCATGAGTGTCTACGCCCACGACCCAGCGTACCTTGGATGCTTCCAAGACTCCGCCAGCCGAATCATGTACTACTCTTTTGAATCGGACAGCATGACAGCTGAGGTGAGCAACGATTCTCCGACCAACACTCACTCGTTGGGCCGGTTGATTTTCCGGAATGCTCGTTTCTTCCAACACGTCCACACGTTCACACCTTTGGGAAAATTTCGTTTGGAATGGTCATCCTTCATCGTCGTCCTGTGGGGCAGTTTCGCTGCTGCTGCTGCTGCTGCTGCTGTTGTTGTTGTTGTTGTTGTTGTTGTTGTTGTTGCTGTTTCCTCGATGTCGATATCGTGTGGTGCTTGCACAGATAGGGTTACCCAAACTTGCTTCCGCTCCCTCCATGTACCTACTTCTCTCCCTCAGCACCCGAACAACTGACGAAGCTTGCTCGTGCACACTAACCCCCCTACTCCTAACCCTACATGGCCCAATGACCAGGCCTGCGCCGCGGTCTGCAGCGAGCCCTACTATGGAACCCAGTGGTCTCGAGAGGTATGACTTCTTGTATTCGGTTCCACAGAGTGTCTGTCGTGCTTTGTGGTACAGTGAGGGATAACGAAAGAAGCACAAACACGCAGAGCGGATTGATCTGATCGTCGCGTTCTCTGGACCCAGTCAGCGGGAAGCCGCCGCCATTGTGCATCGATTTCGAAGATATGTGTAGCCACGACCTAGCGGAAAGTCGCCGTCTTCGTGCGTCGATTTCGAAGATTAGTGCAGCAACGACGTAGGGTATTTTCACGCCTTTGGCCGATAATTTCGTCCCGACACCGGTACTACTGCCGAGGTCACCAATACCACTTGCTTTCGTGACACATCGCACCCCATCTATGCATGTCGTCTTGACCATGATGGCATCAATCTGGGTCCTCCTCCTGTTCACACCTCCTTTCATGCTGATACTGCTGCTGCGTCGGACAGTGCTGGTGCGGCGCAATCAACGGCTACGATGACAACGGTTTCCAGACCTGCGACATGCCCTGCACGGGAGACTCCGACGAGATCTGCGGCGGCTCTTACATCATGTCCGTGTACCAAACCATCTAACTGGCTTTCCACACGGTTGCGTCATCAAGGTAAGCAGCCGCCACAACGTTTCACGCGGAAATGTGGACATGACGGGTGAAATGGACGAGACGGGTAGGAGCATATCACGAATAGTAGACGGTAGAGCAGAGCAACATCGAGCACCCGCTGTCGAACGCAAAAACGTTCTTGTTCCACTCAAGCAGGATACGTGGTGAACGGTCAACGCACCTCGCGAAAACGATCGTCTATATAAGTACGCACCCCGTCCGCGAGAGTGCGATCGGGGTGCTCCATTGGGGGCCATTTTGACCCGTTGGTTTGTGGGAGACGTTGGGACAAGGCAAGCATTTTGATGAGGAGCCGAAAACTCCACAGGGATCTAGCACAGAAGTTTGTTGTTCTTCGAAGTGACCCGCTGGTTGCGAGAAAATAACGAAAGTTACGAAGTCCTTCCTCTGGCGACTTTCTGTTGTCCTAGAAGGGGTAGCACCTGTGCCGTGAATCTTTCCGGTCAAGCCAGTCACCATCCCGGAGAAATCGGCCGTAACGTGGTGGTCAACGTGGCTCCAGCACGCAACTCGCGTGTTTGCTGGTACTGAAGTACGGTGTGTGTGGCAGTATCACTGCGGTGGGCTCTTTTTAGGCAATGGTGGTGCGATACCTCCACTTTACCAGGCACGCCATTTGTAACCTTATTCGCCATCCCTCGATGCTGCCATTGACCATCTCTTCTTTTTCGGCAGACTCGCCGCCGACCTGGGCGTGTTAATCTAAGCGAGGTGTCCACACGAACGAATGCGGTCATCAGTCGTGATCCTCGACGCACGCGACAGCTATATCGTTGGGTGCATAGATCTATGCGGTGTTCAACATCAACAAGGACTACGAGCGCACCGTACCAATGGGAGTACGAGGACAGGTTCCCAAGATTCATCTGAATCGTACGATACACCGGGCTTTCGGCTCGAGGGAATATCGAAAGAAAACGCGGATACACTTTGAACAACAATGTCGTTGCTTGAATGTTGGATGCTCGGATGTTCCGGTGCAACGTGGCGGGCTCGGGATGAGAGAAGAAAGAAAAAGGTTCTGTAGATAGACAGTAATCTCTAGGAGTAAAAAGCAGCGTGATTTGAGGGAGAATGAAGACCACGTGGTGCCAGGGCGACGTGTACATGGCAGAACCCGTGGGCAAGAGCGCATTGAAAAACCATATCTAGATGAGGAACGTAATCGGCAAAGGTTGGTTTCCCATACCTATTCATGCCAGTCAGGTTATCAACCACCGGCACCAGCAGGGCTGTCTCGCGATTTTGTTGTATCTGGCTCTACGTGCATGTCTGGAGTGTAGACAAGGTTATGTGAAAATAAATGTGGGAGTTGAGCCTCCGCGTCTCCAAGTCGTCGGCACGGACGCGTGTAAAGTTGGAGCTGCGGTAGCGTGTGAGTAGACGGGCATGTGGAAACTAGCAGCATGAAAGGTTTCCAGGCTATCCAAGCTAGCGCTGCTACTACTATTGCTGCAGCTGGAAGTTCAGCGAGTTTTCCATCGGGTTGGGAGTGCTACATGTAATGTTGCGTGTCTAGAAGCTGGCGATAGAACATCGCACAGCCTTGATTATATTCAAAGTAGAAATGCATTAGAGTCTACTTATGAGCGTACATATTCAAATACCAGTTGCGGTCTTTCACTGCTGGAGTTAGTCCCACCCTCCGCTGACCTCACGCGACGCGACTACACTGCGAAAGAAAGCGTTGTTGTCTCAGATGTTGTCACAGGCGTACATTCCTTTCACTGTCGCATGGACTCCTCTAGATAATCGTGGCCCTTAATTTTCCTGGTTTTCTCTAGGAACGGCCATCTGGACTTCCTGCGTTCTCTGTGGTGGATCTATCAGGGTGTGTTGACCATCTAAGCGCCTTCACGCGACGCGACTACACTGCGAAAGAAAGCGTTGTTGTCTCAGATGTTGTCACAGGCGTACATTCCGTGCTTAGACTTTCATCGCCTGCCCGGTTGTCATGGAAATGTTGCTCTCTATCGTAGATCATACATCGTAGATACCATAGTCCATGTTTCGTTCATAGGTAGCGCATCTGTATGCGGGGGAATTTCTGCTGTAAAATTATGTGCTCGAGGGATCGCGTGTGTTTCATTGTCGCATGGACTTCTCTAGATAATCGTGGCTCTAGGAACGGCCACCTGGACTTCCTGCGTTCTCTGTGGTGGATCTATCAGGGTGTGTTGACCATCTAAGCGCCAGTTTTCATCATATCCCCACGCCTCTACACAGCACAAGAAGTACTCCTACTTCTGCTCTTCAACCGCTCGCGGTGCCAATCATGTCGAGTAACATCGAGAGACACAGAGCCTCACCCACGTGTCAGGGGTATCTCGGACGATATCTGCAACACCGGTGTTCAAGTTTGTTTCCGGTCCCGAACGAGAAGCCACTACTACTCTCGCTTGCTGCTCGATGAGCTCTCGCATCATGGCATGCATGCGGTGTTATAGGTGGGGTGTAGTGTCTGGAACCGTAGGAGGTGTCCCAGTGGCGACTACGTCCGTCTCCATCCGAGCCGTAGGATGCGAGTCACATTTCCCACCCATGCTATACAGTACACACACTGAAAAATGTGTAGATGTAGTTTAGTGTAGATACACTGTGAAGGGTGTGTAACGTAAATGTCTCACCACGAAAATGAGGAAACTGTCGCCATAATGAATCGGACGAAAACACACACGTACGTACAGAAGTATGTGCTGGTGTCAGTCGGCGACATGTCGTTGACGCGGGGATGTCTTGAGACCCCTGTTCTTTTCCCCCTTTCCATATCCTCGACACATTTAACATGTCTGAAGTCCTGGTTGGTTCAGGTATACGTACCGCCGGCCGGCAGGCCGACCAAACCGCACAGGACAGCACGTTACGGTTGACCGACAGCCCATCCGTTCAAGCAGCCGTCTGAGATCTCCGACCCCCGGGGTTGGCTGCAAACATGCGTAGTTTCAGACTGACACAGAGTGTTTGCCATGTCCACCCACACGAAGACAATCCAACAACCGTCGTCTGTATTGTTATCAACAAAATAGGAATGAAAGTCGTTGTACCCAAGGCCAAGGCTTCACGCTGGACATCGACGGAAGATTGCGCTGGCAAAGCACGTGGTGAACACGTCTACTGTACCGTAACACCAAGATACACAGACAGTAATCGATCCAGCACGCTCAAACGCTCCCCGGTATGACCGGGAGCTGAACGGTGACAAATAGGTCCAAGTATTCATATATCGGGTGGCTGCGTGCACAAACATACGCCAGGGTGCTCGGTGGTATCTGGTCTAAAGTATTTTTTGTGTGTTCGATAATTGAGTCTGTTTTGCTTTGCGCCTGCCAGCTTTCGATGCCGGCTTTCGATGGCATTTCAATCTTTGTCCGTTCTCTCCGGTTATCTGGGTGTTTGACTTTTACCTGCGTGTCGCGGCTTGTGTTGGTATGTTGTTTTCGTGTTGCGACCCCTTTCTCGGCCGTTCGTTCGGGCAATCGATTTACCGAACGATGGGTTTACCTATGTACAGCATTCGGTGTCGTTTGCTCTCCATTCAGCTTGAGCATGCCCCCTGGTCGGTACAGGTGATGAAGAGTTGCTGCGAAAGCAACACACTCATACTGCCCCTTTGCACCAGTTTCGTCTTCCTTGGAGGAGAAGGCGCGGGGACGACCTCCTGATCGATGTGCAGGACGTGCAGGACATATGCTAGTCCTGGTCGGTTTCACAACGCGATCCTTGGGATACCGTCTCAGCGGTACAAGCAACCGTCGCAAAGCCTACCCTCGATACACTAGCTGCACCCCGATCAAGGGTCGCCACCGAAGAACGGCGAACCCCATTGTAGGAACTACACAGGGCACGCACTGGAGGCCGGATCAAGCGCAAAGACGTCGGGTTGATCTGTACATCTGCACATGTGCTACAGCAGCAGTAGATAGCAGTAAGGCACCCCCACCTGCGGGTGAGATCTGAGGCTCTGTAGACTATGCATAGCTACTGCTGTAGTCTACATAGAATCTAGATCTCTGCTCTCGAAGGTGCCACAGCAACGTAACGATGGTCGATGCTCTACATTCCTCCTTTGTTACACTGCCCAAAGGGCTCGTCATGGTCATCAATGGTCATGATGGTTAGCTGGTGCGTCCGCGAGCCGCACCGCAGACGAGCCGCACCGCAGATGAAAGGTAAACTACGCGGGGTGCAGCAAGCACATCCTGGACGTTGCTTTGGAGCACTGGGAAGTCGACCGTGTTAGGCCGGGAGAGAGAGTTGGAGAGAGAGTTGGAGAGAGAGTGGGAGAAGGAAACTTGATTGGAGAGAGAGTGGGAGAAGGAAACTTGATTGGAGAGAGACGGTGGTGGTGGTGGAGTGAGAGGGAAGAAGAAGAAAAAGTGCGCAGCACGCACGCGAGCCTTCCTCATCATCGCACTGACCACGCCCAAAGGGTCCCCGCGACTGCGCCGGTGGTACCCTTCAACACACGAAATTGCTAACACGTGTCCCCCTGGGATCCTCACGACCAGATACTGCTGCGAGTATATCTAACATC